GATGGCTTTCATCTCGAGGCTCTCGGGCGCGAGTGGCCGGCGCTTGGTCCCGCCCTCGCTGGCGGCGGTCGACTTTGTCGCTACCGGTTGTCGTGCAAGGCGCGACCGCAGAGGTCAAAGGTCGCTCCTGCCACGCGGTGTCATTCCTCCGCATCGCGACGACCGCAGTGGGGAGTAGTGTCGGCGGTAGGTTGTTCGGTACTGCGAGGTTGTCTGGTGTGTTTACTACGCAGTGTGCTCGCGCCGTGCTAGCCACGCACCTCCGCGACCTCCTCGTCTTCCTCCAGGCCGTCAAGTGCGTACAACAGTTATGCACTGCTACGGCTGGGGCGTAAGGTCGGGGAGCTGAGGGCGGCGGCGTGTCGCGAAGAATGGGAAAGGGACAGGAGGTGCTCGGATATTGAACGTAAAATCCGGCCTTGGAGCATCGTCGTCTCGTTACGGCCTCAAGAAAAAATGGCTGGTGGGCCAAAGAGGAGACGCCATTTTTGACGGTAGGGATGGCACGGAACAACGGCCAAAAAAAACGAAAGGTGATGTCGTCGTTATTGTACTCGCAGACCCGTACATAGTTCTTGTCGTGACGAAGATGGCGTCACAGCAGGTACCATAGGTGCGCGCGGTCCCGCCTAGATTTCCGTCGTCCAAATACACGATGAAGGTTGCCTGAGAAAAGTAAACGTCGGTGCCACTAGCGGTGCCGTTATATTGCGGATTGCAGTCGCCGACTCAACGTGCTTTACCTATTGGATGTAGGCATTCTCGAAGCGTAGGTTGCCCACTCGGTTCGTCGGTGGGCCAAGTACGACCTGATTCGCGAAGCACTGTGCGCCGCAAAACGAATTGAGTACGAGGTGCAGTCGTGTAAAGCACCCTGCAACGGCGGAAAAAAAAATCCATCTCGAGCGCAGATTGCCGGGTCTTAACTGGTGTCTCTTAAGATCTTTAGAGCTGATGAAGGGATGAAGCCAGGGGGTGTTCGCGAGCGTGATGATGCAAGGGGATTTTCTCGGTCTTCGCAGAGAAAACCGTCTATATCAGTTCCATAGTTTCGGTCAGAAGCAAAATTTGCCCCGAGAACTAATGAGACGTACGAGGACTCGGGCCGCTGCGCAAGAAATGCGTCGTAGCTCAGGTACTTATGTGCTCTTTCGCGCCTCTGCTCTTCAACGCGATGATGCCTCGCTCAGCATCGCGCATGACTTGGTGTCTCCGAGCTTCAGGACGTTCTTCTTTTCTTCTCATACGATGTTTGAAGCCACTCCTAGGCTTCTCGAAACTAGTTAAATTTCGAAGGCTGGTGCGGCCGGTGGTTCCAAGACGTCTTCCCCTGGATCGTGACAACCGCGCCCATCTTGTTACGCCTGAATTGCGAGTCTTTGGTTCCTTCACCATTGGCTCGAAGGGTTCTATCTTGGAGACGGCACACAGCGGGATGTATACGAGCGGGCTATTGTAAGGTTTGGCGCGGCATCCTGAAGTAATTCTGTGAGTTCTCAGCCAGCAGTCGACCGACAGTGAGTATATGTGCGCACCTGAGCCCCAGTCCCACAATAAGTTTCCAACCTGGAACCTTTCCCACCCAACTGGTGTTCCCAGACCTCGAGCCCGGTTGCCTGGCGAACTGCGAGACGCTACAAAGCGGGGTGTGGTGGCTTGGATACCGCAGCTCGGACAGCGTTGTTCGGAGATCTGCCGAAGCGGTACTATGCAAAGGGCGAGACATATCTGAGGATATGCTCTAAAGCAGCTTTCTCAAGAATGAAGCTGTATAAGGACCGGTGCTGCGAGGCAGACAGCGACTGATGGTGGGCGTTGAGGAGCAGAAGTCGGGGTCTCGGCCGGCACTGAAAGCGCTGGAGACCCCGGACGCCACAAGGCCCAACTTTTGTCCCAGGTTGGGCCCGCTTCCAGCCTCTTACATGAACTTCAGGCGGCACCGTCATTTCTACATAGCTTCTCTGGCTCTCATACTCTTGCCATCTTGCATGCTATGTACATGAGGTTCGACGTGTCTTTGCGGTGCGTTTCATTGCACACATCCGAGCGTCCTCATGCTCAATGTATATTTATACTGGCTCGTCTGGATACTGGCTCTTTCTCAGACAACCAGCGTGGCTCATCCGATCTCGAATCCTCCCCCAGTGTTGTATCTGGATCACGTAACTGTTATCTACCGCGATCTCGCTCTGGATACCTACTAGTGATGTGCGGGCCGGGCCTCAAAGCCTCCAAGCCCGCCAAGCCCGGCCCAAAAAGCCTGGCCCGAGTCAAGCCCGGCAGCGGGCTCAAGGCCGGGCTCGGAGCGTAGTCAAGCCCAAGCCCGGCCCGGAAGCCCAGGCTTGGGTGTGCTGGCTCCGTTACCGTTCCCTGAGTTCAGAATGAGGAGAGAGCGACCTAATATGCACATAGAAGACAAAATGTAGATATTCTAGATGTAACGGCTCCCGCCGAGCACGATTGTGCATCACCATCTGGTGCCTGCCGTAGGCACACGCTCGTGGACTTCGCTGCGACTCGACTTGTTCTGCAGATGTAGATCTTCTGGAGGTTATAATTTAGTGAGTACATGCAGTATTAATCTACTACACCCAAATACAT